AAATGCACAGTAATGGCAGGTTTGTAATAAGGCAGATCGCGCTAACATAATATGCACTGTTAGTTGATTATTTACCTGCTGCATTAACGGGAGAGGACGTGCAAACGTTACCGCTGCTGCTGGGTTGAGATTCACGAGTCCGGAGCGGAATTAAAAACACGACATTCCTTTAAGGTCATCGCGTTGTCTTGTGAGCAAATGCTTTTGCATGTTCGTAGTGTTTCCTCCCTTAAATGAAATATTTACTTTGCAAGTATTGCAAGTTGTCCTGTTGTCATCCGTTCTCGTAAAGTATAACCAAACTTTTGAGCTTTTGAGCCACTGGCGCCATGTTTCCTGCCAGGTAAATGACGCTCCGCAACGTGGTGACGTCATTCGGGGCGACTGGAGTCGATAAGAGAATCGTTTGTAAAAATGGCAAACAATTCCAAGGAATTGAAACAGTGGGAACCGGTTCTCAACAAGAACCGGTCTTCGATACCCATCCCTATAAACACATAATGAAAAAATTGGAAAACAAATGTAATTTCAGGTTTTGTCACTATACCTTGCTGCACTACATTAAACAAATTACAGTTATCATCATTGTCTTAGTGAAATTATCTTTCAGTGAGGTGTAAAAGTCTGCAAATATTTTTCTTTTATTATCTTTGTGAACATGATCAGCGTGGATTGTGAGCGTATTAGCATACATGCCACTGACAGCAAAGCAGTTTCACATCCGTGTAGTTTGATTGAAGTCAGTGGAACCCTTTACATAATTAACTAAGTGCACATATCCAGTGTGAGGCTTCTGAGCAGCACGGACTTTAATAAGGGCTGAACGTCACTGTCAGATGATATCAGCCTTTTGGTAAATAAGATGTAACAACACATCTTTACTCCCGAGCTTTTAATTGTGACCGAGTTTTGTTTTGTTCTTTTTGCGTTTGTTTGTTTTACTTTGCACTTTGGTCAACCTGTGTTGTTGCTTATAAATGAACAGACTGAAGTTTATCACAGCAGTCATGCACTGGTTGAAAAACAGCTAAGTCATTTACAAACATAATATTTTGTCCATTACAAAAGAGGAAATAAATAATGATAAATACTTGTGATGAGTCAGATTTGAAAATAATAATAATGGAGTGGATTTATATAGCGCTTTTCTAGGCACCCAAAGCGCTTTACAATACCACTATTCATTCATACACTGGTGGAGGCAGCTACAGTTGTAGCCACAGCTGCCCTGGGGCAGACTGACAGAAGCGAGGCTGCCATATCGCGCCATCGGCCCCTCTGGCCAACACCAGTAGGTGAAGTGTCTTGCCCAAGGACACAACAACCAGGACAGAGAGCCCAGGGATCGAACCGGCGACCTTCCGGTTATAGATACGCTTCCCAACCCCCTGAGCCACGGTCGCCCCGAAAAAAACAAAACAACTGAAGATGATTCATGCTTAAATCATAACATACAGATATTAAAAAAACATGAAACATAAGCAGAGAAAGTTGTGCAAATATATTCATTATGCTGTGTTATGTAAGTCAGTTTATAATCCACACAAGCGTTTTCTATTTACCTAAAAACAAATTAACAGCATGTAAGAATAATTTGTACAAGACAAGATTTGTGTGTCGCTTTGTAAAAAAACAGCGATTGTCAGAGATGAAAACAGACGTTTAAAAAAGAGGAAAAGAAACAGCACACACCTCCATAGATGGAGCTCAGTGTTTACACAGGAAATGGATAACGCCAACATCTGTCTGCGACTGCCTTCCACAGCATTTGAACCCAGACCCTGTGGTCTAGTGACAGGACAGTGTGTGTGTGACTGGGTTTAAATGAATATCACATGTGTGTGTGTTGTGATAATGAAGAAACATGTCACCGAGCACACCAGCGTGGCTCACTGATGTGTTTTTAATGATTTCTGGAAAACAATGGAACACTGTACCACGCAGGAGTAAGCTATAACGGGCTGCGATGCCCACACAGTGCTTGTTAGTGGAGTATAATCAGTGGTGGTTTGGCACAGCATACGGGATTTGCTGAAAAGAATAAAAATATAGAACCGAGTGTGATTTAAGATTAGAGCAGTTGCTGTATTAAACTAAACATAATGAAAGTGCACAGCTTTCTCTGCTTTTTTAAGGTACAAGCATCAGCTTAGAGGGCGACTGGAAAATACCAAAACATTTTCATCGTTTATTTCGTTGTTTGTTATTTTCAAATTTAATGATTTCATAAAATAGGAGTAACGTGAGGGAATACTGACCTATAACACAACCTCTTTTAAAATTCAAATCCATTTGGCTTTAAACTATTTTGTTTAAATGCACTTCAGCTTACAAAATAAAATGTAGTCTTGTATTCTTTCTATTTGTTTATAATGAGGGTTTTTCCTTTTCACCTACTGCAGTGTGTTCTGCTACATTACACCCAGTTTCGGTCTACAGAGAGCAAAGTAAAGATGATGCATAATTAATTGGTACAAAAGCTGAATATTTCCTGTGGCGGTTCTACCAAATGAGCCTGGGTCCCATCTTTCCCATCATTACTGTCAATTTTCACTAATAGTGTGTTTAATAAGTAATGAGTGGCCTGAAAACATCCCCAACCAATAGCTGTGCAGCTTTCACAGGGCTGTAAACTCCTTCCTAATAATACACTGCAACATACAAAAAGAGCCATGTTTGAACTTCCAGGCCACACTTTTTTTCCAGCACAGTGTGAAGACTCGACTGGATTTCTTTTTACCTTTTACACTAAATGTCCTATTTGAAAACGGATTCAATGAAAGGATCGACGTCTGCAGATGTAAAAAGAAAACAGCAGATATTGTTAAATAGATTTTGTCTTTTCGAATCACTGCTGTCCAATAAAAACAGTGAAATTTTCCTTGGCTACACTGAGTGTTTTTGGTCTAGTGGGGTTATTTCTGTGATTCCAATTACTGTGGTTTTAACAGGATTACAAGAGATAAAAGGCACTAAGATGCTTGGGGTATTTGCAGGCTAAATTAAATAGGATGTAATATGGTAATCTGTTGCTTAGTGATAAGAGGATGCAAATAACCACTGACAGTAGATCAGTAATCTGGTGTGAATAACAATGGCGTCAGGTTCTCTAATGTTTTAGTAGTTGTGGGTTAGAGAGGTCTCATGCTAAAATATGATGTAGTTCTATTATTTGGATGATGAGAGTAATGAGTCACTTTATACTGATTCACCTCAATGGACTTTGTAGGCTCAATATTTTCATTATATTATATTTTTTTTCTGCTTATCCAATTCGTTCATGTTCACAGGGGCCTGAAGACGATCGCAGCTGTCACAGGGGGATAGTCTGGCTTCACCATCCATTCGAGCGTGCATTCACATCTACAGCCAATTTATAATCACCAATTAACCCAACATGCAAAAAACCCCAATCATAACCATCAATAACAAATTGTAAAGTGAATGTGTTGTTATCATGTTATTTGGTGTTTTACCCTAAACAAATAATGTCACCCCGATTCATAATAATTATTAGCAGATTTTATTTATTAGTAGATATGACTTAATTTTATTTATGTCACTATTTTGGTGGTTTAAAAAAAAAGAATAAATGTAATATTTATTATAGTCGATAAGAGACGTTTACATTATATTTCTATTTTTATATTCACTATATTTACTTACATTTTTATGTGTGTTTTTCAGTGATGACCAGTTGTTGTTCTGTAACAAAGTTGCATTGCTGAGCGCGTTCCGAATAATTCAAGGTGCGAAGCAAAGGTGAGACTGGTGAAAACGAACCACAGACACGTAGACGCTTGTTAAAGGCGCTCTGAATGCATTACAGCATCATCGTTCAACATGCAGGGTGATCAAAGCCACAGTCCTCCGTTGCGTTTCGGTGGCTCGGCCTATCCAAATAAAAACAATAACCCTCATCATCCCGTCTGCCTCTGCAACAGGTATTAGAAGGATTTGTTTCAGTTTTATAAAAGCACCACATGCATCTGTTCCTCTGCTGTGATCATATTTATTTACCATTCATAAAGTTTTTAAACTTCAGTGGCATCTATTAAAAATATTTCATTGTCTTTTAACAATAAATAACGATTAATTAACTGCAGTTAAATGTTCCCTGAATTTAATCTGTGGGTTTTTTTCTTTGTGAAGCTTATTAAAATGAAAAGTGCTTGAAAGCCCCGTTTTGTCCTGAAGGCTGTCCGAACAGTTTTAATATATCATGAAAAAGAAGATCTTTTTTACTGTTATTTAAAATTTTCAGTCTTTAGTAGAATACCAAAATTATGATGCGTGCTGAACCCGTGGCATTTCTGCAGCACTGAGTAGAGCCTGCAGGTCTTTCCCTCAGATGCACGACTGAAGCAAACCCAGGGCAGCAAATCCTTTGGTGGATCTTGTAAGGTCGCAACACATTTTTCAGGAGTGTATTGATATTTCTTTTCTTGCTTTTCTTTGTTTTTTTGAACTGATGAAAATTCTATTAGTTAGTGTAAAGAAGTGAAAATAAGAGGGATAAAAATGGCTCTTTTTGAAAAAGAGGAAACGATTTTAAAATCTGCTCGTCAGTCACATTGTTTCAGCCGTTACTGCTTGTGTGTGTGTAGTTTGAACAAACCTGGCAATTTAGTAAAAAATATCTACTATTTACAAATGAAAGTTTCACAGCTCGTCTGCCTTTTTTAAATACACTGGATATTTCCGCCTCTTTGAACTTAACTGCCAAAGAGCAGAACAGAGGAGATCGTTTTGTTTTTACTCTCTGAGGGGGAAAGGCCAACAGAGTGTGGGGACAGAAAGTGTTCAAGTTATTAACCCGAATATTTAACACTAATGCAGTTCTCACCTCGTGTATTTTTTATTTTGTGTTATGATATGAAACAGGCCTCAAGCACACAGTAAAGGCCTCTTTCCACATCAATGTGTGTGTGTGTGTGTGTGTGTATACACAAGTTGTTAATTAATGCTTCGTTTCACACTTCAATTTGAAGAGAGGGATTTATTTGTATTTACAGCCACAATTTATTGACAGAAATAAGGCACACTTACAGGACAACCTCACATGTGTTGAAAAGAGTGGTTAGCCTAAAGGGATCACCGTAGTCATCAGCAGCTGCAGCAGCATGTCGTCAGCACACAACAGCATTAGTGCACGAGCACAGGAGCACACATGCACTTTAGATAGGCGTCACTCTCAGCACACAATGCCTCATTCGTCCACGCCTCAAAGAAATTGAGCGTTGCATTTGACAGGACATGTCAACAGTGGGTTTTACAGCAAAGCAGCTCTTTTGAAACAGTCCAAACACAGGCTGGCACACACAGCGACTAACACAACACTTTATACCACATCACGGTGTGCTCATCACCACCACTGAAGAGCCCAAAATCAGTCAGGAAATGCAACAGTTGACTGCCTGGATGCATGTGTTTGCTTTTTAATGCAAACAAAGGAATCATCGCAGGCTAACGGTGTAGCAGTGGAGCTAGATGTAAGGTGTTTACACAATGCAACATGAGATGACAGCAGCGGTGGCAGCCAGCTGAAGCCCCGCAGCAGCAACAAACACAGTTGCAGGTAGCAAACAGCGAGAGGACCGCGTCCACGCTACGGCACAGTGGACATGCAGAGCAGGGGAGGAGGCTCCTTTTTGGATTCGTCATTACCCCACAAATGCTCCGGTTTACATCCTCCTACACACGTTTAAGCATGTTGCTCTGTTTGTTTCCACGAGCAAAGGAGCAGTAATTATCAGCTAAGCCAAGTGTTAAGCATTAATTGCATTATTGGAATAATCTGCAGTGGTAATGACTGGGATGATTTGTATAATTACAGTCACAAGCATGTCTAAGTGACTCTAACTTTTATATTCGACGTGGCAGCAAAGCCGGCGCAGAAACTGCTTCTTAAAGGCTCGGAAAAGCCCGGCGATACGGAAATCTGCAGCACACAATCACGGGAGGCGATGCATGTGAGGACGTGGCTGTATGACTCGAGCTGATCCTATTAAGTGTTTAAATGGATTTTACACGGCTGTTAAGGTTCAGAATGTGCCATCAGACATGGAGATGGAATCCATATTCATGATGTATTGGCCCGGCTGGCAACGCAGAAAAAGCTGGTTATAGACCATTTGAGCCAGGGGTAATTGTTTATCTAGACGCCGCTTTCCTCAATGCATAAATTGAGCTGTCGACTGCTCGTGGTGGACATTTTGTTTTCTCAGCTATGAGTGTGTGCGTGCATTAGTGTGAATGTGTGTGAGGCTCAGCGGCAGCAGCAGCGTTACATGTGGCGTAAACCTCACTGCGATAAATGCCATTTGAGCAGCCATTTGCATAAAAAAGGGGGAACACAAGAGGCAGCTCAGCACAGCTCAGTCACAGAATAAATGCACTACACGGAGCTGAAGAAAAGGAGGTTCCACTCTGTAACCGCAGCCGGTGGATGTCCACTGGCCCCTCAGTAAATATTACAGGCCCACGCTGATGTCACACTCTAATGAAGCCAAACTTAATCACACAGCTTTTATGGTAGTTTTTGTTTAGCTGTGCTGAGCACAGAGCGCTGTGCCTGCAGCGTGCGCACACGAGGACTGACGCTCAAACAAGAGAAGCAGTCTGAAGCCATCACCACACACTCTCAGTATGTTCTTGGTGTTGTTGGCATCTTCGGTGTTAGACAGAATTGAGCCTTGGTCTTCATCCTTCTTATCGATGAGTGCATTCACGAGCTGGGCCCACGTCCTTATTTTAGGTTTGACAGCGTTTTTAGTAGATAGAGGATTAAATGTGAACTGAGCTGTGGTTTGGGGAAGGCATGGGAGGGATCCCCGTTTACTAATGAGAAAAGAAGACGTGAAAGAACTGAAAAAGGGGAGGCAGGCTGGGGCAAGAAAACAAGAACGAAAAGCTTGTAGAGCTAGGGGCGTGTTTGGAGGCGTGGTCAGATCATTTATCTCCAATTGTACTAATAATCTTTTTTATTAATTGACTAATTTCCAAACCTTCAAGGACCAAAAAAGCCTTTCTTCTACATACCCAGTGTGAGTGTGCGGGGCTATCCCACCTGTCACACACAGCCCTGGAGTCTAAGGTACAGCCAGTCCAGTGCAGACCAAGGAAATGAAAGATGTAATGATATTACACCTGATGAGCCGTGCTTTAGTTTCTATGTTTAAATCTAGAGCCTTATCTTTGCTTATTTCATGTTGTCGGCACACAGAGTGCCAGGCGGGAGTATTAATGCAGATCCAGTGCTCAGCACAGAAACCTGTTGCTCTCGTGAGAGAATGTGTCCTTCCTGACGGGAAGGCTTCAGACAGGCATCTGTCTGCTGCCACTGCTTGTTCCAGGCTGGCTTTGCAGGAACACGTACACATGCACACGTCTAATAATCCAGCGTTTCCCTCAAAGAACAACACACACACTGAAAGACTACATCCACACACCACGCCTCGCAGACAGAGACACACCGACAGATGTATGGTGGGACAGACACGAGGACACTGTCGACCTCACACCGTGGCTCAGCACACAGGAAGTGGGCGGGAAGGCAAGACAGCGGGATGCAGCGGAAATCAAAGAAGAGATAGGTTTTCTTTATAGGAAGGTGGAGCGTGGAGGTGTGGCTTCACCCAACCTGACAGACCTCCGTGGTTGGGTGGTGTTTTGTCGGGGGGAGGTGAGGTGGGTGAGTGCGGGGGGGGGCTGAGGGGTATTGGGCGAAGAGAGGACTCTCCTCGACTACGCGTATTCTTAAGCAATAACAACGTGATCTGTATTATCCACCCAAGAATACCCGTCACCGAAGAGAGTCTTTCAGTAAACAGGGGAGCTAAGCCAGAAAGCACGTGAGCAGCGCCACTGCCATCGTATCATCATCACCACCACCATCACCACCATGGCCATCGCCGCTGCCATCAGCAGCCCCCCTTCAGGCTCCGGTGGCAAACAGAAACATACACATACACAGAGAGTGGCCAGTGCATTGATTGAAGACGCCTCGCTGCAGTGTGAGGCTAGGCTCCATCAATGGCTCCTCTGCAAAGGAGAAAATTGACAATGGTGGCATTTTCAATCCAAGCCAGCAAGTGGGTGTCAGAGGGAGACACAGAAAACAGAGAAAAAAAGGGTGTGAAAAAGCTCACGTTACATCGATTCAGTCTCTCACGCCTCTGTGCAACCATCTCTGCAAGCGACAGGGGGAGCGTGAGAAACGGCGACCGTCTCTCACCTGGACTACAGCCCGGCAGCACCGCCCAGATCTCCCGAAAGCTCATCCAGCTCTTCCCCATGAGACCTGGGAAGGAGGGGTTGGAGGGTGACAGGGGGGCTGGGGTGCACACACAGGGGAGACGGAGGGTTAGGCAGGTCAGGCCAGGAGCTGCTGTGGTGTGACAATAGCCCTGTACACTCCATTACCATCCCCTCCCCACCCCCATGGGACAGGCAGAGAAATCAACACATGGATTATACAACGGGAGGGAGGGAGGGGGCAGCACATGCAGGCAACTCATTTGTTTGATTTTATGAAATACTACTGTGTTTCTGCAGGTGTCTAGCTTACTGGAGCGGGCTATTTACTGGAAGAGCAAGCATTTTGTACAGAGTTTACTTGTTGCAACTTGTTAACTTTAAAATTGACTTTAAATCGGTTCCTAAGTATTAGTTTGGCAGATTTATTTCTTTATTTTGAAATTAAAGCAATGTATTTAAATGTCGGTGGGTGATGCATGAATAATGGATGGAAAGTTCAAGCAAATTTATTCCGTTCTATTCTAATTAAACTAGCCGGCTGAATACAAAGAGCACGCTCCAGCTAAGCTGATCCAAAATCATTCCATTGATTTTTTCCCCACAATCAGGCTGCTTTGGTAAAAGGTTGTCAGTCTGTGTCTCTGTCACGCTGGCACTAAATGAACTGTTTCATTGTTCCTGAGAACTGAAAAATCATATTTAACAGGAGGAACAGATGGTGTGACTGGACTTGCAATCAGAAAACACAGTGACGAGGATGAAAAATCCCAACGTGCAGATGAGCTGAAGCAGAACGAAGAAACAAACTGATGATCAGAGTCAGCAGCCCCAAGCTGGCAGGAGGAAGACTGAGGAGCAACGAGACAAAGAAGGAAGAAAGCAGAGGCTAACCTAGCATCCCCTCCTCTATTCTTCACTTAAGCTCGACTCAGCCAGGCCAGTCTGCACACACACACACACACACTCAGAGAGGTCGGCCGGCCCAAGTATCATTGATTGTAGAGTGGAAGCTCCCTGGAGTCTCATCAGATTACTATGAGCATGATTGTGTCAGTCTTTGTTTGTGAGCGTCAGGAAGAGCAGCAGCACACATCAGGAGGATGCTGCCTCACACAGTTGCTTTCTTTCTCTTTGCTCAGGAGCTGCAGGTACTCCCTCCTGTCTCCACTCAACTTTCAGGACCTTGCTTACACACACACACATTCACACATCTTGTGGTTCTTCTAAAGTGCCCACAGTCTGGTGAAGATGATGAGTGCAGACAGGAGAGCAGGCTGATGGAGGTGATGTAGAAGCCAGGTTTTTTTTCTGCGCTTCACAGGATGTGCAAATGGAGACAGCAAAGTATGGAAGTGCGAGCTCTGTGTGTGCCACTCTGGCCTCTTACCCTGCTTCCTCCTGTCACTCAGGGTGGTGCCTCTCCTCAGCTCTCCTACAATTCTCCTTGCCTCGCTGAGGGTCCGTGGCAAACTGGGAGGTGGTGATCTCCCTCCCCCTCCCAGTTCCAGGAAGAGCTCCCTGAGGAGAAGGTGGAGGCAGATCCCGGCAGGAGACGGAGCATCCAGCAGCGAGAGCGGCGGCCGCTGCGCCGCTGCTGATGGAGGCAGCGGTACGGATGCTGCGGCTGCTGCTGCCAGAGAGGGATGAGCGAAGGACGCTTCACAAAAGAGCTCCTCTTCTTCTCCTTTCCCTCCTCTACTTCTTCTTCTCCTTCCACTTTTCCTGCTGCTCTCCAGCACTGAAAGAAGCCAGTTGTTGCTCTGCCGTGGCAAATGAACAGGCAGCCGGCGACAAGCTGGTGGAGCGAGTGAGAAAGCAGGCAGATGGGAGAGAGAGAGAGAGAGAGAGAGGGAAAGTGCAAGTGTGTGGTGTGATGTGGCATCTGTGAGAGAGTGATAGAGGAGAGAGGGAAAGATAAAACAGGGGGCAGGAGGATAGATGAACCAGGAAGAAGGTGGGGTAAGGTAGGATGCAGGGAGAGAGCAAGAGAGAGAGAGAGAGGTATTGCAGCAATGAAAACCTTGAGCCAGCAGCAGTCTGTCTAAGCCACATCCCTGCTACGAGGAGAGGTAGAGAATAATTAGATTTGAGCATTTCACACACACACACACACACACACACACACACGTCCTGGAACCTAGTACTGCTGGATTAATTGATGTACTGTGTGCTTCACGGCCCTCAGCCAACACTTCCACCAGCAGCCACTAACCTGTGGGAGAAAAAAATGAGAAATGAAGTGAGGGGTGACTGTGATGATGCTGGAGAAGAAGAGGAGGAAGAGAGGAAATGAATGGGCCCCTGGGACTGATGAAAGCATACCACGAGGATGTGAGGAATCACTGATACGCGCACACACACAGGACGACGAGGCTGCTGTGTGGACTGAAGTCTGCCAACGTTTCCTATTAGCCGTCTTTGTTAAACATGTTAAGGGGACGCTTCAGGCGATGTGAGCCAAATGCCCGTGTTCCTACGGCGATGTGTGATGTCACACAGCTGATATTTCACACACTTCTCATTCATGCTGACTGAATGTGAGCGGTGTGAAACAGCAGTGAGCACACACGGTGTGTGTTTTTCTTTATGAAAATAATAATAACCATATCCTTTTTTCACACGCTGTACAGTAGAATAGCAAATGACAAAGTTCACAGGTTAGAGTCAAATGTCCACCTCTGGAATATTCTTGATATTTATAATTGAGCGATTTTTATATTGTTTGTTTATATTGTTTTAATCAATTTTAAATCATGCTTTTTATTTGTTTTTGTTTCTAATGTCTCTGTAAAGCACTTTGAATCACCTTGTTGTTGAATTGTGCTATACAAATAAATTTGCCTTGCCTTGCCTATATCGGTGCTATTTGTTAAGTTTGTATCATATTAGTTTGGTCTGTTATTGTTACTGTCTTGGAGCATCTGTACCCCACAGGGATCAATAAAGTATTCTGATTCATGAACATTCAGAAACTGATCAGTGACCAAAGTGTGACTCGAACCCTCACATCAGCCCTGCAGAGTAGCAGGGACAGTATGAACAAACAGAAGGATGAAAGCGAGGAGAAATGAAACCGAGTTCCTCGGGGCCCATTTAAGATGCTCTTAATTCCACACTGCTCTCTTAACACGCTGCAACAGGCGCTGACATTTTCAATTAGGAAGACTTAAAATCATTTGTGGGGGAGAAAACGAGCCCGTGTTTTGAAGCAGAGATGGTGGTCAGATCATATAAGGTTCCCTGTAGGTGTCCAGCTCTCTTTCACACACACACAGGCAGGAACACAGCAGTAATGTTGTGCCATTCTTTTTCAAAGCCGTGCCAGAAATGAAATGCGGACAAACATCCAAGAAGCTTTCATGTTCTCCTTCTATTTCTGTGTTTACTGTAGCTGCACTGAAGGGCACAAGCTGCACACCAAATCTCTCAGTGACTATTGAGAAATTAGGCGGTGCGATCCTTGCAACATGCCTGTGTGTGATGATTCTGTTTGTTCTCTTTTGTTCTTGTTTGAGTCCTCTTTCCACATTTGAACAAAGTCGACTGTGAGTAGATTAAAAAAAAGAAGCAGCCACACAAATGCTTAATTTCAGCAGTGTCTTCATTTCAATGGAGCAACAGAGCAATTACATTTACATCTCTGCTACTTCCTCTGACACTGGCGAATCTCCAGAGTCAATGGAAATTAAAATCTCTCAAGGATTCCACAGTGATCAGCGGCGCCTTTGAGGGTGAATGGGGGGGGGGGGGGGGGGGTAAAATAATCATACACGGCTTTATCTGCGAAAGAGATGGTTCGTTAATGTATAGCAGACAAAAGAGCCTGAGGAGCTGTGGCTGGGGGGGCACTGGTTCTGTTTCGTAGTGGTGTAGTGCCCCCTAGTGGCAATGAGCCCACTTGCTGTGGCATTGTTCAGCCACAGATGGTCCTTTTACCGGGATAAGCCGAGAGACACTGAATATCAGAGATCAGGGTTATCAGTGTGTGCGGGAATAAGACCCACAATACACACCCAGGACTGTGCAGAGTAATCTAAGCAATCCAGTCTCAGATACACACCCAGCACCAGCACAGCAACACCATTCAGCTTATTAATATTTGACCACCTGACATGGAGAATGTCATTCCTCCTGCATTTCTACTGGAAAGTGCATTTAAATAATCACAACACTGCTGCTCTGTGTTTGAGGCTTCAACCTAACAGCACATGTCTTTCTGTCATACATGCAGACTTTGTGGTGAACTTAATGACTCTTTACACACACACACACACACGCGCACACACACACACACACACACGGACACACACACGCACGCACGCACGCACATAGACATACGCACACACACACACACACACACACACACGCACACACACACACACACGCACACACACACGCACACACACACACACACACACACACGCACACGCACGCACGCACACGCACGCACGCACACACACAGTGTAGAGATCTCTGCCAATAGCTGCAAAGCTTCTTCATTAACGCCGAGTGCTCACAGGCAGGCTGGCAGGGTTTAGAGGTCCACATGTTTTTGTTTGTTTGTTTCTATCAAAGGTTTTTAGACGGTCCGTCATAGCTGAGGTGGACATTACTGTGGACATGGGCAGAAATGTTTTATTATTAAATGCTTATATTAAGAGCACTGTGGGACTAGACATGAGCTGTAACTGTGCTGCTCATTCCTCTTTGTTAACATAGTGCTGAGAGATTATGCATTTTTATGAACAAATGTGTTTTGGCATGAACATGGTGCCACATGTGTTCTGAATAAGAATGTCCCACTATGTGTTGCTCATGTTTGTGTTTTCCTTTACATAAAAAACACACTTCTTCCATAAATTAACATTTGGAAAAGTAAAAAAAAAAGGTGTTTATATTCACCTTCACTGAAGTGAATTTCCTCGAGTTCCTCACTAAACACATTGACATGTTTTGTCCGCAGCATTCATCCCAAAGAATCAGGCTGGACTGAAAATCTTTTTGCTCTGATACAGAGCGAGAGGAGAGAGAGAGAGGAAGGTCTCCGCTTTTCAAAGCAGCCAGCCATACAAAAGCCACTGAATTGAGCTTGAAGCACCACAAGGCCAAATATCAGAACAGCAACATGTACAGCACAACTGTAACACAAAGACAGAAAGAGGAAAAAGGAAAAATCCATAAGCCATCAGCAGCCAATTAATCCCATAAAGCGGTTTTCAATGACAAGCTGGAGCCTCGCCTTTCCTGCCGTGCTCAACAAATCACAGGTCTGCGCATGCACGTCTACTTCATTAGACAGGTGACTCGCACTACAGCAAAGTCACGCGGTGTGTTTTTGAAATCAAGGTCTTTGTGTCTGAGTTTTAGCTCAAATAGCTAGAGATTTGTATCTTGGAGCCATACATTTAAATAATGCCAGAGTGCAGATGAATTATGTCAGCCAGGTTTGGCACACTTTATTATTTATTCCCTTTTTATTATATGCTTCCATTGTCTACAGAGGTAAGGATGACGGTTCTCTTTCTACTGCCTTTCTGTTTCATGTCAGTGTGGAAGTATGCAATGTGCAGTTTATGTAGTTAAAAAACAAACAGCGAGCACATCGACGGGTCATGCCCAGCAGTTTTTGTGTTGTTGCGATGTACTGAGGATTGTTCTCCTGAGGGGCCACAGGGCAAACACTTCTTTTTGGCTCTCTACAGACTCCTACTATATGTGTTAGTTACATTGTTTCCCCTGATACCCAGAAACCAAGCACAGATTCAGAGCTGAAATGACTTCACTCTAAGAACATAAAGTGCTCCATTGTACCTTTAGCAGTGCAGCTCGTCAGTGAGGACATTATTAAGATAATGCTGCTGTACCTTTGACAGGGGGTACTCTTGTGGTTGGTACCTTACAGAGACCAGTTCTGAATATCTGGTAATATTTTTTACATCTTTTTGTAATATTACTAAAATGGATCTTTAAAAAAACAAAAGGTGCAAAGGCGCTGTAGCCACCCCTTAAAGCCTCTGGGTATTTGAAGTTCCAGTTGCCAAGGTAACCTCCAATGGATTTACTGGCATGTCATATGTTAATCGTAGGACCTGCCCACTTTGCGTCACCAGCATTTATTTGTCCGGTAGTTATTTAAAGCCACAGAATGTCACTGACTTTCTCTGGTCTTTGATTGCTGTGAACTGCTTCCTGTGTGGACACAGCTTTGGTGCTTCATTTCTTTGGTGACACTTTGTTATAAAGTACAAAGTTATTGCTTCATTAATCTGTAGTAACAGTTAACTTGCTGCACAAAATAACAAAAATGTTTTAATTACATTTATAAATAATTAGTCATTGTGATTTATGAATATTATTGTCATTAGTTTCTATAACAGAAAATATCAAATTACAGTTTTGCATATTCTGTGAAGCATCACAGCTGATCATGTTTTGCAATGAAGGTTTCTTTACTAATCAGTTATCCCATTTAATTCCAAGGATATAAAATGCTTCTGTTGAGTCAAAGCTGCCAGCGTCATAGAGGCACGAGGTTTCCCACAGGAGGCAGCATCCAGCAGAAGGTCTTAACTACAACTGAAAATTGCAGTTTATGAAATCAACAGGAATTTAAAAAGTGCTTAACTCGGGAGATGCAGTGTAGGTGACTGTTTCACATTCAGGCTCCAGCGTGGCCAACAGAACTGCTCGCTGTGCCACAGTTTTCTATCAAGCTGAGTTTCTTAGCTGAGAAAATCCTGCCAATTTTCAAAGTAAAAGAACCTTTGCAGATTAAGTGCTCTGTGTGAGGACATGTTATTTGAATCCTTGCAAAGGATGAAACACATTTGAATCAAACTATTCATAATCTTAACGAGCAGTTTTGGCATCTAAACCTAACCGAAAGCAAATTTATCTAGTCACTGATGGCTTTAACTCTTTTTATTGTCTGATGTAAGACTGAGATCCTTAACTTCATAATTATGATTATGAAGTTACACTTTATAATATGGCTGCATTTGCACTGTAGTTAACTGGAACTGAAATGGATTTTATTAAAAATTACAATGTAATCATATTTATCATAACTACAAATACTTAATGATAAGTACAGTAGAATAAGGGAGCAGCAAGTCAGTGTTTTACAGGAAGCAAATAAAAAATTATACTCTAAGCAAACTTAAGTAATATATGAGTAACCTTAGGCAGTGATTTTTTTTTTGTAAGTATTGCATAACTTTAGGTATTTTACAGGACAGAACAGACTCGAGTGCAGACACAGCTCTTGAAAAAGTTCACAGTTTATTTACAGCAGGGAACACCACAGTGCAATATATATACAGTGAGCTGGGTGGGGGCCCAGGGCTCTGGGGAGAAGAGGGAAGGGAATCCACGCACTCCCTTCCTGCTCACTGCTGTTTCACACCGTTCACATTCAGTCAGCATGAATGAGAAGGGAAGTGTGTGAAATATTAGCTGTGTGACATCACACATCACCGTAGGAACCCGCTCTCCCTTCCTTGGTCCTCACCCGGACCGTTCCACCTCCCCTTCACATTGCACTCCACCTGCGAGCAAGTAAACCCTGCAAGTTATACAGTGCCTCATGCAGAACTCCTCTGATATCTCTCTCCTTCTGTTTCAGTGACCTCCATCGTCACTCTACTCCTTAATCATGTTTTGATTCATGCCTCTCTCCTTCCACAAACTTAAGATGTAATCTGGTGTTTGTTAATAAATTCTGATTAGAAATCTGTCTATTGTACCTTCACCTGTATCTGCTTTTGGGTCCACTTTTCGGCATCGGCCTTTGCGGACGTGACGAGCTTCCTTATCCTGATGTCAGGGGCTTCTATCGCCTCCTTTTGGCCAGTTATTTATCCCAGCGAGGTATCTGATCATTGGCAGAGCATAGGTATTGATTGGGAGATTTCCAGGTGTCCTTGATGCCTGCAATGTTGACTTCTGGTAGTGCAGAAGTCAGTCCCCTCAGTTCTGATTACCTTCCCTCTCTTTGCTGCATCCCACTACACTTCTATAGTCCAAGGTGCTGTATATCTTTGTGGTGGACACCAGTGAATCAATGTCTCATTCAGTCCTGGGATACATCTTGATGGTGGTGGACAACTGCTCCATTCTGTAGTTGGTATCTGTAGCCAATCTTGTCAATAATCTCACTGAGGGGGTTCAAACCTTTGCAGAACATAGTGGAGACAAAGCATCTCTCCTTGGTTAATCCCAGACTTGATGGTAACTTGTGCTATAGGCTTGAAGTTGGCCTCTAGTGTTGTACACCACATCCCCAATGAGTTCCTGATAAAGGTTCTTAGGGTCCTGTTGATCTTGTATAGTTCTAGTGTAGATCACTCCGTTGGTTTCAGCAATGGCCACTGTAGGGTTGTCTGTAATGCTGCATTCACATCTTCTAGTAGACCTTCAGAGGGTACTTCACTTAATCTTGGTAACTGGCTATGGAGGGTCCTGGTTTGCCATGATCCTGTCTTTCAGGCCCATTCCTCTCACCAGCGTTAGCGAGCGATGTGGAGGACTCCTGCCGTCTATGGCGTCGGTACCGGAGGAACTGCATCGCTGTGATCCAGCCTGGAATCCTTCTAAATGGAAGCGCTGTAGAAGTGGACGTATACGTGCCATGCGCTCTGGGAAGTGTGTTCAGGTCAGAACTTGGATGCGGCAGGTCCTTACCATTGGCGACCCTGGCTGTTTAGGACTTTATTTTGGACTCAAACAGCGCTACCTTCTTCCTGTTTACGTCATTGACGTCGCTCACCCGACGCAGTTTAATTGGTCGCCATGCCAACGGGATACGAGGGGAGGTGAAGCGAATATAAACAACCTACAATTACTGACTGCTACCACGGATGGACAGAGAGTTAAATTAGCTCTCTTAAATGCAAGATTTGTATCAAATAAAACTCATGTACTTCGGGACTTTTTTGGCACTCATAAGCCGGACGTCATGTTCCTAACATACCGTCCACTTAAATATAATGGCTTATTTATTTTGGAATTTTCAGACTAAGGATTCTTATAGTGGGGGACTTTAATATTCATCTGTGTTGTGAGGATAAACCCCTGGTCAAAAATTTCTTAAATGTAAGTGATTCCTCAAACTTCACACAATTGTGTCTCGGCCAACAGGTAAGGGCCACACCCTAGACCTTGTGTTGGGTTATGGACTGAATGTATCAATGACTGAAAATTGTGTTTTACCTATTTTCAACAACTCACCAATTTTATTTGATATTTTAATCCCTAAATCTCCAGCTTCTGAGGCGCGCACATAGTAACATTGTGTGGTTTTTCTAAAATGTTTTGTTATATTAATTATGTTTCTCTTTCTTTGAGTTACCTGGGTTTGGGCGGTGGCTGTTTCCTGTCTGGGCAAAAGGCGTGGCTGAGGACTCTGGGGACAAAATGCCTGCTCAGCAGAACCAACCATGGGCTTACCAGGAGCAGGGGTGTTTTAGGTTTAGTTAGGTTATTCTGTGCTTAGTTAATATTAGTGTGTGTTTTTGTTTTCCCCCCTATTGTGTTCAAATGGTTTGGCCAAATCATTATAAAAGCTACCCTCATGTGTCTTTGTAATTAGGTCAGTTTGTGAGTTAAGTTGTGTCTCACTTTGTTGTTTAAGTTTTTGGAAATTACTTTTTGTAGAGTTATATTTAGTTGACCTGTTTTATGGGCCTGCTAAGTATGGTTTTGAATTTTGTTAATTTTTGGACTTTTTGAGGGTTAAAATAAAGAAAACCCTTTTGAAGATATTTTTTTTGCCTGTGTCCTCTTTGCTTTGGCTGCTTGGTCCCTCACAATTGGTGGCAGCAGTGGGATCTGCCAGTTGAGGACACAGTTTTTTTTTTCTAACTAACGGGCAAGGCAAGAGGAGCATACGTTCATATGGATATTGATGACTCTCTCAGCTATGACAAAGTTAAAGCTGCAATTTTGTCCAAGTATGATGTTAACCCTGAGACCTACAGGCAGCGATTCCGTTCACTGGAAGTCAGGCTTGATGAGAACCCCAAGGAGTTGTATGCTCGACTTAAAGATCTGTACGGGAAATGGATTCAGCCAAAAGGTTTGGATTCGAGAGCACAATCCGTCTTCTGCAGCGAAGGCAGCTGAGCTGGCAGAAGTGTTTGTAGCTGCCAGGAGGAAAGGGCAACCTTGGACCTGTAATGCAAATAAAATGCCAAAGGAAGGCCCCAAATCAGCCCAGATGTATCATCAAAGGCCATTGTCAGCAGAAAAAACTCCTGTGGGTGAGAACCAGTTTGCTGGCAGACCATTAAAAAATTCAAAAAAGATTGTTTGTTACCTCTGTGGGTTAGAGGGCCACACAAAGCCAATGTGCCCAAAAACCTCAGCTAAGATGGTTCAAATGTGTTTCATGCCACGTTCACATGCTGAACATGGGCTCCAGTGTGACCAGACTGTTAAAATGATAAAAATTGAAGCTAATGGAACAACTTTAAGAGCTTTGCTTGATTCTGGCAGTTCTCGTACACTGATACATAGAGATTTTGTGCCCCCCAATATTGTCCGTGTTAGTGACACCATCCCCATTTGTTGTGTGCATGGAGATGAGAAGATGTACTCAACAGCTGACATGTACATTAAAGTGAATGGACAGACATACCTTTTAAATGTTGGGGTGGTTGATAACCTGCCTTATTCAGCTATTCTGGGACGAGATTTTCCAGTGCTTTTTGATTTGTTGGAGTCAGACCAGAATCATCAATGCAATGTGGCTGTTACTAGAGCCCAAGCTCAAAAATCTAGTGAAACCTCAGAAGTTTTCAGTGCCTTGCCATTTTTTAATGAGGAATGGGAAGTTGCACCTGTGAAGCCTCGGAAAAGTCGCGGACAGAGGAGACAGGAGAAGTTCCAGCATACTATAGTACACCCAGAAATGCATACTGACCCAGACTTGCCTTTGGGACTTCAAATTCCTGGCAATATAATAGAGTTGCAAAAAACTGATCCTAGTTTAGCTTCCTGTTTTCAGCGAGCAATAGACAAGGACCAAGTAGAGGAGGCAGGCATTAACAAAAGTGACTATGTCTTGCAAAATGGCATACTTTACCATCAGATGGGCTCACTTCCCAAGCTAGTGGTCCCCCAAGAAGTTAGAGAAACCGTGCTTAATTTGGGACACTCTATTCCCTGGTCTGGCCACCTTGGTAAGCACAAAACCACAGCTCGTATTAAACAACATTTTTTCTGGCCTGGCCTCCATAGATGTAGCCTACTTCTGTAAGAGCTGTCCTCAGTGCCAGATGACATCCTCCAAAGTCCCTTCCAAAGCTCCACTCCAACCACTGCCTATTATTGGTACCCCATTTGAGCGCCTCGGAATGGATATTGTTGGACCCGTTGAGAAGAGTAAGTCAGGGAATCGCTATATGCTTGTAATCACTGATTATGCAACTAAATATCCAGAGGTCTTCCCACTGAAATCCATCAAGGCAAAATCAGTAGCTTTCTGCCTTGTACAGCTCTTTGCAAGAGTAGGGTTCCCACAGGAAATACTGACTGATCAGGGGAGTAACTTTATGTCCAACTTACTAAAACAGGTGTACAAGCTGCTGGGGATTAGAAGCCTGAGGACCACCCCATACCATCCTCAGACTGATGGGCTAACAGAACGGTTCAATCAGACTCTGAAGCAGATGCTCCGGAAGGTGGTAGATAAGAATGGTGCTGATTGGGATCAGTGGCTTCCTTATCTTCTCTTTGCCTACAGGGAAGTGCCACAAGCCTCCACTGGTTTCTCTCCGTTCGAACTTTTGTATGGGTATGAGGTACAAGGACCTCTAGCCCTGCTAAGAAACATCTGGGAGGGAGGCAAGGAAAAGATGGACTCTGTTAACATTGTTTCCTATGTTGTGCAGATGAGGGAGCGACTGCAGAAAATGAGTGAGCTTGCTCAGTCAAATATGACCAAAATCCAGCAGAAGCAGAAGTTTTGGTATGACCGAGCAGCTCGTCAGAGGTCTTTTAGTCCTGGACAAAAGGTGTTGGTGCTCCTCCCCACTGACAACAACAAGCTATTGGCTAAGTGGCAAGGGCCCTTTGAGGTTCAGAAGAAACTGGGGTCCACTACTTACCAAGTGTTCATCCCTGGAAAGCCACGCTCCAGCAGGGTTCTGCACATAAATCTATTGAAGGAATGGGCGCAGCGCCCTGAAAAGACAGCAGAGGTGATGCTCATAAGGGGTGTGCCAGAGGAAGAAGAGGTTGGTGAGCAATACTTGCCTTCTGCTGATGTGGTAGATTTTGACCTTAGTCATCTGCCAGATGATAAACAGCTTCAGGTGAGAGCTGCATGCAACTCTGAGGTGCTTCAAGTGAATCCTGGCCGAACAGATATTGTTGAGCATGACATTGTCATTAAAGAGGGCGTCGCAGTAAAGCGTTTGAGCTACAGGATCCCTGAACGTCTGCTAATATCCCTGAAGAAGGAAATCGACCTCATGTTGTCCTTGGGGATCATTGAGCCATCAAAGAGTAAAGGGTGTAATCCAGTGGTCCTGGTGCCAAAGAAGGATGAAAGCATGAGGTTCTGTATAGACTTCAGGTACCTAAACTCAATATCACTGTTTGATTCATACCCCACACCACGCATTGATGATTTGCTGGAACAGCTGGGGAAGGCAAAGTACTTGACCACACTTGACCTGTGCAAGGGATATTGGCAGGTGCCACTAACGGAGCGATCAAAGAAGTTGACTGCCTTTCGAACACCTTGGGGTCTCTTCCAATTTACAGTGATGCCATTCGGGCTGCATGGGGCTCCAGCAACCTTTCAGAGATTAATGGACTATGTGGTTTCTCAGATTTTGCATCTGCATATCTTGATGATATTGTCATCTACAGCACCACATGGGAGGAACACTTGGAACATCTGCATGCTGTCTTCGACCGTCTTGGCACTGCTGGGTTGACGGTGAACCCCTCTAAGTGTGTTTTTGCCTCTGCTGAGACTGCGTACCTGGGCCATGTGATCGGGAATGGGGTGATCAAGCCTCAGGTCAGTAAGATCCAAGCCATTGAGTCTTGTCCTCTCCCACAGACAAGGAAGCAACTAAGATCCTTTTTGGGCATGGCAGGCTTTTATCGTCGGTTCATACCACGATTCTCCACCAGGGCAGCTCTACTAACGGACTTGATAGGCATCAAGTGTCCTAATCAGATTAACTGGACAGAGGAGGCTATAGCAGCTTTCAAGGACATCAGTCAATCACTGAGTAGCGAACCAGTTTTGTACAGTCCAGACTTTAATGAGCACTTTTTCCTTCAAACGGATGCATCTCATAGGGGTCTGGGAGCAGTGCTACTTCAAGGTTTGGAAGGAGAACGTCATCCTGTTGCTTATATCAGCCGAAAGCTGTTCCCGAGAGAGGTTCGATATTCAACAGTGGAAAAGGAGGCCCTTGCAATCAAGTGGGCCCTTGATTCCTTCAGGTACTACCTTCTTGGAAGAGAATTCACCCTGGAGACAGATCACAGTGCACTTCAGTGGATGGAAAAGATGAAGGATAAGAACGGAAGGATCACAAGATGGTA